ATAGAGGTTGACAGTTTGGAGTGATCAGAAGGATAGAGTTTAGGAGATAATAAGATAATTCAAGGAATGTTATTATAATTCTGTTTTCAAATGCAATAATTTTAGGATATCAGACGAAGCGATCAGAGAGGAAAGCGACAGGTTGATCTCCTTTATATTATCAATGCAACGATAATTTGTAATACACTCTGTAATAAAAAAAAAAAAAATAGTAATAGTTGTCATCAAACATAAATTGGTCATCTAATCAAATTTCATAACTATTTTTTCTCTCCAGGATATGAGACCATGCCCCACTGGTCATCCAATTGTTTCCAATGGCCAATTAACCTACTCAAATGAGCCAAACTTAGTTGGTGCTTATCCGTCCGAAACTGTTGCAATTGTACGTTGTAATACAGGTTACACCATTTACGGTACGTTCCACATGGAATTCCCTCCTTGATACATCTCAATTCATTCTGCTTCATTGTTTAATCAATCAATAAATTAAATTGGATGCATAACTTGGATTTGAATGTCATAAATCTAATTTTTAACAGATTAATATTTGAAATATTTAACCAATTAATTCTTAGCATTATGCTGAGAATTTACTGAAAATTAAACCTCATTTTGATTAATTTTGTTTTGTTAAAAATAAAAAGAAGCAAAAGCTTTCAGTCCGTTCACTCTTTTTTTTCTACAAAAATGGATTTAGGTGCTCTTTTGTCGATCTGCGAAGATTCCATTTGGAAACCACGAAATTTAGGAATTTGTATTCTTCCATCAGCAATTACATCAGTTCCATCTCGAAATTCATGTTTGTTTGGACTACTAAGTCCAGTTGGTGGTACTGTCACCTATAGTAAAGGTTTGTACCATTACCCATATCATTACCTATAAATCTTCTAAAATTTAGCGGAAGTTATTTGAAGTGATCAAAATTTAGCCTTCTCATTAATCTAATTTGGTGTTGTCCAAGCAGGTAGCTCATTGGGTCCATTTCCGTCCGGTACCTTAGCCGTGTTGAAATGCTTACACGGTATTTCGCATGGACCAACGTTAGCAGCATGTGATAATGGTTCATGGATTCCGCCTGAAATGGGCTCATGTTCATTGCCACATTTCGAAAATTCTTCAAATATTCGTTGGTTTCTTTTGCAAACTTTTTATATTTTAAAATTTATATTCTTTTCATTCTCGTCTAATTCAACTCTCTGGTTAAATCACCAAACTTGTGTCACAATTCCGCAGCTTTTATCACAAAACCGCAATAAAATCGTAATAACCAATAAAAAAGCCATAAAAACATTTTTCGAGAAAAAATTTTGGAATTATACTTTTTTATTTTCATTTGAGCAAAATCGCATACAAATTTCCACCACATGTTATCTCGAGATATTGCTACTTTACTAGCAAATCATTTTTAAGCCCCGAAGTTTTTTGCTTAGACAATTTGAAAAAGATGAAGTGGAAGTACTGGGAATCTCTCCTGATATAATGTCCCGTAAAAATCAAACCTCAGCAATAAGAAAAAAAAACGAAATAAAATTTATACCAAATGGAGTTGCGAAAGATGAAGTAAAAAAGAATAATTAAATCGAAAAAGAAAATTCATATTCCAATAGAAAAGTTGGAAATATTAAAATTCTACAGACTTCCTTTTGTATTAAGTTTGATAATAATTAAGAATGATATAAATTACATATTGAAATTGAGCATTAGCTCAATTTTTAATTCTCTATGAGTGGAACAATTTGAAAATAAAAAATTTTCTTCTTTTCTCTATAAAAAAATGAAAAAGATATGCAATTCGTTTATTGGTATATTTATTAGCCATTTAATTCTGAATTAATTCCTAAATGTAAAAATAAAGTTCAAAAATTCTTAACTTTTACTCTTGAGAGAAGATAAAAATAATTAAAAATTGTAAACGTCCAGAAATTTTTGGGATCTTATTATGTAAAAGTTTTTATGACCTTTTTTTGGTATTAAAATAGAGAAAGAGTTGCTCAAATATCATTTATGATATTTTTATTAATTCAATTATGCGTTGCACCAAGTTATTGCGATTTTTAATTGCTATAAAAAATATTGAACTTGTTCAATTAAAATTTGTTTGAAATAATTTAATGATGAGAATTTCATTATTTGAAAATTTGTTATTTGAGACGCTTGGCGGCAAATAACAAATATGATTAATGTTATTAAGACAAAATAGACATTGATGACAACATTTCATAAAAGTTTTAAATTTTTGCATAAAAAATTTTAAAGAATAGTTAGAAAACAGTGTTGCACACTTTTTCATTACAAAATAATTGAAGTGCGGCAAATGGGTACTAAAATACATAACTTTTTTCGCTCTTTTAGAATAATTTTTAAAATTTGATTCAGAGTAATCAATATCAGTTGATGTTGAAATAATGAATAGAAAATAAATAAATACTTGAAAAAGATGATGGAAAATTAATATCAGAAATCTGCTTAACAATAAAATCTTACAATAAAGCTTTAATATTTTATTAGATATCTTTTAAAAAATTTGCTGCTGTTGATTTCGAAAAAAAAAAGAAAATAAAAAAGAAACATATAAAAAATCATATTTATTTGAAAAATATTTTTTAATGTAATTTGAAAAAGAAAAATATTACTAAGTTAAAATTTATGCTTAAATTTCTGGCATAGATATTAAACATGTAGGAAAAAAAAGAAATTGTAAAGTGGACAATATTAATATTAAGTTTTCAGGTTTCGTTTTTGAATTAGCTAGTTGTTTGAATGATTACCCTGCACCAGAAAATGGTATCGTTATGTATTCAAACAATGCCATTCATCCACCATATCCAACATTAACTAGAGCTAACATACGGTGTAACTTCGGATACATACCAATAGGTTCAATAATAGCTATCTGTCAGAATGGGGTATGGTACCCGTCGATACCAACACAGTGTATCCAATATGATAGAAGTTCGTAGTATTTTTAAATTTTAGGTTCCACTTATAAACATTATATGCTCTATCAATTTTTAAAACAAAATCGTAATCGATTTAATCGATTTGCCAAATTAAATTGGGCTTTATTTTAATTTTAGTTTATGATGACTAAAATATCGTAGCATTTGTTTGTTAAGCTAAACTTAAGCTAAAATGTGTACAAAATTTATGCAGCTATGATTTTAGTTGAAAAATCATTAAAAATGTTTGTTGCTTTTTTGTTTTTTTAAGTATTTTGTTATAAAATTTCAGAAAAATTTTTTACAAAATATTTTAAATTCCAGTAAAGTAAATTTAGTTTAAAATATTTTGTTAAATAGGTGTATTTGTTATATATTCTATGAAAATTTATAAAGTTTCTTTTTCAGCTCTTACTAACAACTTGAATAATGCAATACTGAACACCACGTTAGTTTCACCGTCACAAATTGTCACCTTAGTAGGAAGCTGTGTTACCGGTATAACACCGCCGGCTAATGGATATATTAGCTATAGCACCGGCTCAAGCAATAGACCATTTCCATCAGGGACCGTAGCAACCATAAATTGTGATCGCGGTTTCAAACCAGTTGGTATTACATCATCAACTTGTTTAAATGGAATTTGGTCACCTTTGGTAGTGGGACAGTGTATTGTTGATACGGGACCAAGACTTTTTGGTACTGATATTTCCTTTTTTTCTTTCATTACTCATATATTCTTATTTTACTTATTTTTGAAAAAAAGATTTAAAAAATCTGTAATGAATTAATAAAATATTTTTGTAATCAATAAAATACCAGGTATTACAGGTGTACCACTGAGTAGCAGAATAAGTGTAAGTGAAGTAGGACAATGTCCTACACTTCCAGCACCTCTTAATGGTCGAATATCATATTCGAGTGGTTCAGAGATAGGACCATTTCCTACCGGTACCACAGCTACCGTCATTTGTAATCCAAATTATGTCCTTCTTGGTTTATCAGCAGCAATCTGTACCAATGGTGTTTTTACGCCATTACTTTTAGCGCATTGTGTACCAGGACCAGGAAATGTTGAAAGTATGGGTATTTTTTTATTCTTCTCAATGAAATCAACTTCAATTTTTTAACTTTCAAGTATCAAGTAAAATTCAGGAAATATTTATTTTAATTATAGTTTTCAAAAAAAAATTAGCATTCTTTTTTAGGTTTATTAAAAATGAAAGAGTTACCTTGTGTAGCCATACCGAAACCGCCCAACGGGGATGTAATATATTCAGACATTACCGCAACCGTATATGCTTCCAGAACAACAGCTAATTTAGCATGTGATTTCGGTTTCATTCCAATTGGTCCGGTGGAGACGACCTGTAAGAATGGTAGAAAACTTTTTGGAATTACAGTACTACTAAAATATACCAATTTAATTAAAACTTGTTTGATTTAAATGAAAATCAATGTTACTAAATATTAATTGTATCAAGTTTCAGTTGGATATTATAAAAGGTTAGAATTTTTTATAAAATGATAAATTTGGAATAAGAAAAAAAGCGTTCCAGTTGTAATATAAACTTTTGAAGAGTATTGATAATGCTTTAATTTTTTAGGACAATGGCAACCAATATTGGGATTCTGTCAGCAAAGTATAATTACTTCAGGAATAAGTCAAATTCCCATTTTAAGGCAATGTCTGTTTGAATTGCCAGCTGTAGTAAATGGACAAATCAGATATTCTACCGTAAGTTATTCTAATTAAAAAATTAAAAATTCTTTTTAACGAAACTAAAAAATTTCGTTGAAATATTGGCCAAGAAATATAAGGCTATTTAGAGGGTGAAAAAAAAGCGCCTTGAAATGATCATTTAGGGAAATATGTTACCACCGTATGAGAGTGGAACAATAGCAACATTAATTTGCAACAGTGGTAATGTACCGATAGGTCGGAAGTCATCGACTTGCATCAATGGGTCATGGAACCCTCTGATATTAGGCCAATGTCCAATTAATGGTAAGTGAATTGGTTGCGCATTCGAAACAATCTAATTGATTTATTTTTATTTTAAATTGTTTTCATTCCATCAAATTTATGAAAATAACTTGAAAGATGTGCAGTAAATTGGTTTGCTTTTCAACTGAATTAAAATAAATAATTGAGCAGTTACATCATTATATATAAATAAATGTAAATATAACATTGAAATTTACAAAAAAATGAAAGTTAAAACTACCATAATGATAGTATTCTGAATTAAACAATTTATCAATTCTATTTCTGATAGTAGAAATCAAATTTTCTGATTCAAACGATTTATCAATTTTATTTTTGATAGTAGAAAAATTTAACAAAAAAAAAAAAAGAAAATTATGCTTCTTTGACATGAAAACAAAACATGATAGATAACTTTGAGACTGATGTGCTTCATTCATAAAATTTGCATAACCGTAGTAATTAAGTGATGGACTGGGAGAAAAGATAATTCATGCATGTTTCCAGAAAATTCCACCTCTTCAGTTCAACTTTCTTGTTTACTTAAAATTTTCGCTGTGAGTTGCATATACACACATACAGTTACACACATATATTTTAAATTTTATTAACTTATTAAAAATTGATAAAATTGCTTCACATATTAGCTATTTTCATATTATGCTTAATTTATCAACAAACACTTCTCTTCATTGTAACTTTCTGACGATCATTTTGTTGTTACAGATAATGGCAAAGATTATTTAAGGACTGGATTGAAACAAACTGCATTACCATCGTTTGGTTGTCCTACTTCACCACCTGTTTCCAATGGAAGAG